ATCTTTCCTTTAAGTGATGAGGGATTGATAGATGAATTTTCCCACAATTATATAAATCGAGATTATACGCTGCACTACCACATCACAGAGAATATCTTTAAGGAGTCACATCTTTGCTAGATTTAATGGAAACTTTGGGTATACTCATAGCATTATGGGAAAATTCAACTACTAATCCTTCATCACCTTAATGATATAGGGGGACTACAACATCTCTGTCTTCATATCTCCTCTCAGTTAACTTTGATGGGGGATATCTTCAGAGAGAAAAAGCCAAGTGCACTTCAGTGGCAACATGAGATCTAATCATATCATTCTGTGAAAATTTAACTAATAGTCTTTCATAACCTTACGTGACCTAGAGCGAATAAAGTTCTTATTCAAAATATACTGTTAGTTTCGAAGTCTTCTCAATCCGAATATAAGTAATAGTCTATTATGATAGCACATACCAGTTTGTCTCATTGATGATCCCACTACAAAAGTGTGATATGATATAGGTCTGACTCGCATTGAAATGTATGTCTTCTTCACCCACTGGCACCATTAGCAGTCTGATGTGGTGGTAATATGTCGAGATTACACGTTACACTGCCTGGCTTTGATTTCCTTTGGGTGTGACATGGAGGCCCAAGAGTGACCGCAGCTACAGTCCAGCCTGGACGAGAATACCATTTGAGAGGCAAGGCCAAGCGAAATTCAGTGGCATCGGGAGACCTATTTATATCACTGCGTAAAAGTTAACCAGTCCTTCCACGCGTTATAGGGTGAACACTAATTTTATTGGAGTTATTCATTGCTGGTACAAAGGGTAACTAGGTTTCGATGAATCTCTTAAGATAACATGGTTGGGGAGGGTTTAATTTCACATGTAAGTTTATGCTGAAGAGATTCGTTGGCTGATCTCACCAGAGGACGACGGCATATTCCCATTCTGCAGCCGTCTGTGTCGACACAGTCCACGAGAGATTCTCGTTTTTGGTTAAACTGGGCTAAGCCTATATCCATCATATAATAGACATCATCAGAGCTAGGAATCATTCTTCTACAAGTTTCAAGTTAACACTAGGACAAGAAGAGTCTTCTTTACCTATCATATTATAGCATGTCTGGCGCACTGAAGAAAGATGTATTGTACACATACTACAATTTTTTCGTCTGGTCTGCTTATTTTTCTACGCTACAACGCGCTTTGCATATTCTTTTTTAAAATTGTATTTTCAATGGGTGTCTCTTAATTGTTTAACGAATGATTTTACTTTTTTAAACCAGCTTACTCAGAACGACGTTAATGATGTCTACGTTCAACTGCTTTCCTGTCTGCCTACTTTTAAACGAGATCATCTTTCTTCTAACTGTTTTCGTGGGCCTCCAATTAGTGCTGAATTGCTATGCCCATCAGTCGAGCCAGCTTTTTGTTTAAGTAATCGAGCTTTTTTAGACCTACTTTCCATAGTTCTGCCTGACGCCGTGCTAGCCAGCAACTCAACGCCGGCAGTAGAGAAGACGATTACACGGTATCCCTTAACAACTCCTCCAACATCAAATTTAACTAAAGTCTCCTCTGTATCAATCAAACTTTTGCATTTACGTTCATCTTCGGTGTCTAACTTCACTAAAGGCAGAACTGGTTCATTTTTTGCCGACTGGCGTCACACCACTTTGAGAATTGAGTCTCGATTTGTCGACTTGCAGAAACTCTTCGTAGACCTCGAAAGTAATATAGCTGAGTTGACTTCCGACCTATCAGAATCTATCTACATCCATGTGAGCTAAGTACCTAATTAGTTGGAAAGCTAAATCATATGCCATACATTACACTTTAACCATTATAATAGATTTTTAAGATTTAATTACTTTCTAAGCGACAGGTTTCTTTCCTGCTAGCTCCATGATCCAAAATTTTATCTATAAGACTTTTATCCTACATATTAAAAATCCTCTACACTGAAGTGAGAAAGACGAAATAGTTCGTCAATTGCAATGATCGTCCATTCATATTTGATTTAGTATCATGAACACAGGTTAGTTATATATACTCTGTCTTTCGAAAATTGCTATAGACGTTGCTAGACTACAGCTATTTCGTGTCTATATGTCTATTGGCCAGAGCTTAAGTTGTTGATTTGGTTGTCCCTCACTTATTATTTCCATATATGATCCAATTTTGATATCCTCCCTCGATATATTTTATTACATTTTACTTCAGTATCGATTCAATCCAAAACCCTTGCTCAGTAGATCAGTTTGGTTCTGTTAGGCGACGCTAGACCTATTTCCTTACCATTCCATCCTACATTTTTCTTTAATTTGTTTATTCAATACAAATTGCAATGTTGAAGTTCCCCACGTTAGGCGATGCTGACTACAAATGTTTCATAATCTTTTGTCGGTCTACATCCATTTGGGAAGAGAAGTTGGATTTCGAGAAATCTCTTGGTTCATAATCGTTAAGGCTGTGTGAAATTCACTGGAAAAGTCATGTGTACTCATATCATTGTGGGAAAATTCGACTACCATCATCACCTTAAACG